CACTACCTTCATCATACAAAAAAAAAAAAAAAAATCTGACAGCAACAATAACCACCAAGTGGGTAATAACTTGACCACAAAATGAGTGATCCTAAGCAGATATGTTGAAGGGGGAAGGCTTGAATGGTAGATAAGTTGGCTCTTAACAACAGCTAAAACTCCTAATGCATATCCACTATATATACAAAAACGCATAGTGATTAAAGTTACAAACACAGTTTTTTTTTTTTTTTACTGATATAACACAGTGATCAAGAACTCTAATTTTTAGCTCTACATACATTCACATTTACCCAGAAACACACTTCCATCTCAAAATCTTCTCGAGAACTAAATTAGCAACTATGCAAATAAGATCTCATTGCCTTAATTTCTATAGATTAATGACCTACTTTCCCTTTCGAGGTGGATTTTACTTCAAATATTTCTAAAATATACATGATCATTTCTTTCTCCCTTGATTTATAAAATAATTAGAGTTAATAAATCCACAAAAGAAAAAAGAACAAAAAAAAAGGAAGAATAGCACAGCATAGCATGAACCTTCGTTTTATCATTGAAGCTTGAGATTACGATCTACCAAAAGGTAGGCCTTCTGTCATTCAAAGTCATTACATGATGTATTTTGCTATTACAACAAGCAATGGATATATAGATAGATAGATAGATAGATAGATAGATAGATAGATAGATAGATAAATATATTGTTGATGCTCGGATTAACCGAGGGCAATAAAATAATTTTGCTCCCGAGCTTCAAAGGAGGGGGCCGAAGGTTTCGAAGGTCCTAAGAGGGAGAGCCAAGGCCGAGGACTACGTCCAAGGTGGTAAGTCCCTTCAGATACTATAGAAGTCGAAGGCTAGCGAGGAGTGTACCGTGCGAGGGGTCCGAAGGAGGTTTCAGTACGGATCCTACAAGGAGTAAAGTGTCAGAGGCCTCGGGTGAGCACTCGAGGCAAAGACTCCGACAGTCAAGTTAGTATGCACACAAGGTGAGCTTGAGGTATGGAACCGAAGGGTCTAGACGAGGTCTCAAATAGTGCTTAAATTCTCTAGAGAGAGGCAATGCTTAGAGATTGCTCCCGTTTTCCAATCCCCTTACCTTGTGGGGGGTGCTTCGTATTTGTAGCCGGTGCTACCTGGGAGTAGTTAGGCTCGGATGGTCCAGATGCAAGCCGTACGAGGGCCTGGCGAGATCTTCTGCCAGGGCCATGCGATGCCTTGGTATTGAGTCCGTCTGGTTTGCACCTGGTAACCCTAAGTGTCGTCCTGTAAGCTCAGGCTGGTGCCCTCTGATCTGACACGCGTCAGCCCCGTACAGGCCAGCCAAACGCGCCTATATATATATACATGATACAAGAGAGTCCATGCTATTCAATGGCCAATTTTGAGAAGACAAAATTGATCAATTTATTATAGAACCCCTAATTTTGTGGGACTAGTTGTGGAAATACCTCCTGCTGCAGAGCTCGAAACACTGAATTGAAACTCATGTTCAATTCCGCATGGTGTGAGTACACATAAGCACCCATTTAACAGTTCCGTTGTTTTGGAAATAAAAATAAATAGAATACAAAAAAAGAAAAATAAAAAAACACAGTATAATATAAGTTTAAAACCAATAAAATTCGTGTATTTTTCCACATTATATGGATGAAGCAGTTATAAATCTACAAACTAATTATCACAAAAACATTCAAAAGAATCCTTCATTTCTAATTCTAAGCCAAAAGCAAAGGTTAAGATAGATAAGAGAAGAAAACTAACAAAAATAAATAAAATGGATAGATAGAAGGAAAATAAGTGAACACAAAACTAATTCAAAATAAAACGAGGGAAGCAACAACAGAACTCGAAAAAACAAAGAATGCCAGAAGAATCAGTGAAATGCATGCTCAATTTTCATATTATTAAAAATAAAAATAAACAACAAAAAAAAAGACAGCAAATCCTAGATGAAGGAAAGACAAAAAAAAAAAAGCAATGAAGTGTGAAAACAACCCTTTTTTGGGTAATACATTTTTATGAGACGACCGGAGCTCCGTCTGTCTCTACTTTCTAGTTATAGTAGGTTACAAACACCATGGCAATTTAAAGAAGAAAGAAGGGTACAGTTGTGGTAGGTTACAATAAGAACTTGACGCTTAAATGTTGTTTAGACAAATGTTACCATTTCGAAAATTTGAAGAAAAATGAAGGATAAAATAGTTTCTTCCATCTTTCAGTTTACGGTTACTAACAATTGTCAAATACTAGAAAACTTAGGGGTACTTTAAGTAATTATAGTAAGGTTAGTTTTAGTCCATTTGCTAATACATAAGGATAGTTTAAGTATTTTTGCTTATTTTTAACTTATATTTGTATTAGTTTTAGTCCATGCCTTATCCCCAACTATATGGGGTCATCCACATGAATCCTATTTTGCCAATTCATTCTATTTAAAGCTCATAAAATCATATTACATCTATACATAAAATAACAATTTTTTTATCAAACTCAGATTTTAATCGGATCGGATGAGGTTAAATCCACATCCAACCTGATTATTAATCGGATGCAAGTTCTAGTCTAAGATAATCAGATTCAGAGCCAAATCGGGTATCGGGCTTTCGAAGTCCATTGATAGCCTCATTCATGAGAGATGTTATGTGCGGTTTGATTCTCATGCTTTCAAAGTGTGTGCAGAATTTTTGCTTGTAGAGAATCCCCTTACACCTCCTCAACTTTCACTTGTGACAGATATGGTACCTTGTACTTTCAGAAATCGACACTCAAGTCCAACCGTTAGCATTCTGTTAGTTAAAAATCCAAAAACTACCCTTTGCATATTTTATAAGGCTGTTTAACCTTCTTTATTTAGTCTCTGAAACCCTAATTCTTAACCATTTTTTCTATTTTCTTTCTTAAAGTTAAACAAACAGGGCATTGAAGCAATACAACAATTTGTGCATCACCCTTCGCAAAAGAGGTTTTTTTTCCAAAGAGGTATGCTAGTTGAACAATCACACATGTACATTTCTATCATTTGCAATTTTATTCTCTCAACTACTTAGACAAAAAATAGGCATTTTGGTAAATTTACCCCTCCTCGTAACATCATGTAACAAACTTGAACTTAAATGTTGATTTCTAGAAGTACAAAATAGCTTGTTGTTGCAAGTAAAAGTTAATCCATACTACTATTAGAAGTGTGGAACTTTTGTTTGACTAAAAACCCCAACTTTTAATTTGGTTGCTCTCTAATTGTAAGGACAAAAATATAATTTGAACAACCACTTTTCTCCCCATTCAAATCACTCACATTAAGTTTTATATTTAAGTTATTAACTCTCACTAACATTCATTGAATGTTATTTTTGTGTAGAATACCCCTATTTATGAATTTAGTCCCTCTCTAACTGTGAGGACATGAAATATAATTTAAACTATTACATTTCTCCTCATTTAATTCCCTCTCATTAAGTTTTATATTTAAGGTATTAACTCTAGTTCTTTCTTAGGACCCTATATTAATCAATCATATTAATGAAAAATAAGTGTGACAAAAAATAGTTATTTTTATTGATGATAGAAATAAAATACAAATGTAAAACTACACAAAAAACAAAGTTGTTTTCCTTTTGGTGCCAAGTCAACAATTCAACCTTTTAGGTTAAAATGTGCAAGCCCTTGATGTCATATTAAATAATAATAATAATTAAAAATGAAAAAAAAACACATAGAAGTATAAAAATACAAAAAAAAATATAAAAAACATTTGACCACCTCTATAATATTATATATTCATCATATTAAACAAAAATAAGTGATAAATAAAAATAATTTTTATAGACAAAAATATAAAAACATATTATTTACTATCATCTCACCATAAAAAATTGTCCGAAGCACATATGCACTTACTAATTCCCTTAAATATCACTACTCCCAAAGAACATATGCCTCCCTATAATTTTCCCTGAAATAAAGCAAATGGTTCCTTCTTGGGCAATGTACTCAATATATTTGGGTTGATGGCCAATGTACGTGGCATTCTCAAAACAAAAGCACAAAAACATTCAATATCGTAGAACGCCACTTAAATTTGCTTGAAATTTGATTTGCGATTGAAAATTACGAAATACATTTTTTATTTGAATAAGAAATAATACGATTGTTTATCTATGGTTATACATTTAAAACTTAAAAGTAACACAAAAACAATTAATGTTTGTAACTGAAGTCGTTTTTCTGAAAAATGGTGCTACATCAGTGTCGCATCTGATATCTGTTTTCTGAAGAAACACTCACTGTTTAGTTGGACATTTCCTCAGAAAAAGTTTCCTCAAACCATACTTTGAAAATTAAGGCGTGATATAAGAACATCCTATACTATTGCTAGCAACAGTATGCTGATGTAAAGTTGCAAAACGCCTGTGGCAGCAATGTTCTCGAACAAAGAAAAAATTTGTTTCTGAGAAAACAACATACCAATGCAGAGCTTTTAAAATGGTGTTGGAGAAACAGCACCAGTTCCAAACATTACCTATATATGCTTGCATAATCTATCAGCTTTCATAGAGATAGTATGCGTGTGTAAAATACCCATGAACATGAGAATTAAATAGGTAATGAGACTCTGTGAGAGCCCCAAACTGCTGCTCGCAAAGCTGTGTATAGAGGGATATATAACCGATCACAAGTGAACACACCAGTGTTCTGTAGACAACCACCATGTGTACACACTGGCACTTTCACTCGTGTTAGTTCCATAGGCCTGCTAGTTTTGCAATCTGCAACATGATATAGAATACAAAATGTAACAAAGAAGGGGCAAGCCAGAGAGGCAGTGAATCTATCACCACCTAAAAAGAATATAAAACTGTCTTAATACACTTACATGTCCACCTGGTCTAAATAATATAGATTTATTTGTCCTCCAAAAGGGTGATTCAGAGAGGTAATCTGTTTTTCTTCTAGAAATATTTTTTAAGTTTACATAAAATATAAAGATCGGGTGGTTAATATTTAATACGCACTACCACTCATTTATAGTATTTTATATATTGATAAGATGAACAAAAACAGACATGGGAATATAACAAAATTATATGTATAAAAATTCCGCCAATGTTCCAAAACTACACCAAATTACAATAGCTCTTTCAGCAAGGAGATGTTACCCCTCCTCAAGACAGTTACATTCAGTACATGTTCATCGCTTGTTTCCAAGAAGGGGCTCTTGTAATCTTGACGAATTGGAATCACCCTCTGCAGATTTCTTTGGAGTTTGCCCTTKCTTACTTTGGACCATCTGGAGAAGGAACAAAGACTTTAGACGTGTAGAACCCATCTAAGAATGTGTACATTTAAAAGCTCAGCCATCAATCAACAAAGAGGGGAAGGGTGATTGTTTGGTTTAATGGTAAAATCTCGGGTTGACAAGTGTGAAACGTCATCAGAGCAACCACTTTATACACAAAAAAAAAAAGGAAACTGCCAAAGTTAGGCCTACATCCATTCTACATCTTCCAAGATCCCAGATAGCTGGGGCCAACATGCGGGTAATAGAATGTACATTTTTACAAGTCATCTTAATCTTTTGAAATTCTTGTTATCTCGTTATCAGAAATTGAAATAGATCTTGTGTATTATTAAGACACTATGATAGTAAATCCACCTTTCAGCATGATATTTCGTTTATTGCCACTGCTATCCCCTTAGAATCCCACACCAATCACAATTTAACTTCTATTTTAGGAGTGCTGCAATATTCTGGTACACAAAGAAAGCATCTATTTATTAAATATTTAGAAATCTTTTTATGCTGGGTGTTGAGTTTTGGCTCCATTTTTGGACAGACTTGGCATTGGCATTCATTAACAACAACCAGTGGAGGGAAGAAAAATATGAAAATCTTATAAACTAATGCACTTTTGAAATATGGTTTCTAGACATTGAAGCACCTCAAAAGCTACAAAAATATAGTCCTTGTAGTTGAAATTCATTCTTTTGACGACTGACCCTTGTCACCATTCTCAAAAGCATTTTCACAAGTTTTATTAAGGGCATTCTGATCCTTTAGGGATAGAAATCTTTACCAAAAGAAGAAAAASGAGATAGATTATTATTATTGTATATATTTAAATAAAACCGTAGGCATAACAGAAAAGCGATGCACTGCCACAATTGGTATTATATTCATTGTAGTTATGTATTTGTTTGCAGACAAGTTCCATTTCTGTTACCCCAACCTCTATGTGCAGTCAAGTGTAATTGTAATAATTTAATTAAGGCACCATAAAGCATTGCAAAGAGAAAGAGGTGTAATGTGGGCTGTGCCAGGCCGTCACGGCACTCTTTTGTGGGCCACCCACACTGTAGTGGGCTGTGCCATGCCAGCATGCAGGCCTTGGCAGGCCATGCTGAGCAGAAATCCCCCAAGAGGGTAGCCTGACACAGCCTGAGGCTCAAGATAGACAACAAATTGAAAAATCTTAAAATTTTATTCCATATGAATTTTGATGTATGCAATTGTTTATAGATGAAATAATAAAATGAAATTGAAAAAATTACAAAAAAAAAAGGAATAAAATAGCATAGCAAAATTGAAAATAAAAATTCATATTTGTATGCATATATATGGGCTGTGCCAGTCCGCAGGCAGCCCGGCCCACCTTAGAGCTCTACAAAGAGATCCAGTTGAGATGGAAGTTGATTATTTAACATATCTGCTCGCCAAGGCAGATATGAAGATATGCACAATCTCCTTTTTTATCAAAGTTTCGAGCATGCCACTAGAATAATTTTCCATGGTAAAATTATCAAGACCCTCTGAGCTAGATCTCTATCATTTCTTGGACCTATTCATTAACTGGTAGAGCCTTTAATTTAATTACAAGATCCAGATCTGGATGCTCAGCATCACCCATTTAATTTAGGGGGAAACTACATCATGATCCCTATTTACAACTTTGAAGATCTAAAAGTCCAAAATTGGGTACCTAAAAGCTCCTGTTTTCTTTTTCCCATGGAAGCGAAAGATTAATTTATAGAAAACTCATCTTATAATTTGTCATAGCAAGTGCTCTTGCAAATATGGATATGCAAAAACATCTGTTGTAAGCTTGTAGCATTTGTAAATGCATCAACTGCATACTTTGTCCATTATGCAAAGGTCTGATAACCTTAATTTATATGAAACAATTTTACCCTGTAAAAAATGGCCAGAAGGCCCTTGCATGACATCTGTAGCATCAGCTTTACTGCTTTTCAAGTAAAATCGTAAATTGTGCATAATTTCATTTTATCTTTTCAATTGTTTTGGGTCTTTTTAAAAGGTGGACGAGGATGGGTGAAGTTTCTCTCTCAAAAACCTACTACCAAAATGGGAAATTCCCCTAGGAATTTTGTGCAGTAATAACAGAAAGGTTTTAAATTGAATTGCTTTGACCAAAGAGGTAATACTTCAACATCTTCACTGATATTCAAAAAATGTTAGTATGGTAGTACTGCCTCAATGACATGCGGATGGTGAGCCATCTTTGGATTTATTCCAACATACCGAAGGGAAGGAGACTGAGTGGAGCCAAAGTTTAAGAAAAGGGAAATTGAACCCATACTGTTCTCTTGATCTATATGGGTCTTTATGTGGCTGTGATTATGGACAAACAATTGGGCTTTGGGTCTTGGCAAATCCACACAAACCTAGCCCAACTCCATGAACCTAAAAAGTTATGCTAGTAAGCCTAAGTGCCCGTTTGGGAGGGCTTTCACACAGCAGCTTCTGGTGTTGCAAGGTAGGCCCCAAACAGAAAGCCATGAAGCAGTTTGGTGAAAAACCTGGAAAGCCACAAATAGGCTTACATGAGCTGAGATATCGACTTTCTGGTGAAGCTATTTTCAGTAGTTTTCAGTAGCTTCTCAGAAGCGGCTCAGTCAATGCAGCCCTCCCAAACGGGCCCTAAGTCTGATAAGTCATTGAGTGAACCATCATCTTAAGTGGATCCCACAATCTCAACTTTGATGACCAAACAAATCTTTAACTGGTTCTTGATATATGTTGAACAAGGGGTAGATCCTCAAGATTTACTTCAGATCTTCAAAATATTTTTAATAGGTATTCAATTGCAAGTAATGTCAGTTTCAAAAAAATCACACTTTTGTACATCTTAGAAGAGCCGTTCTGTTTCTTTATAATAAGCCCATGTATTAGCTCATTTGAGCAATTGGATGAATGAATGACAATGAAGAGTTTTCTCTACAGACATCTTTAGTGCTGACTCCTAGAGAAACCTAGTGGTGTTGATTCCATTAGGTTTTATCTTTTGTTTTCATATCTTTTTTTCTGACCATGTGTTACTTTGTTGAATAATTTCTATCAATTTCAGGTTTGCTTTGTTATTGTTCTTACTTTTTTCTGTGTTTGAAAATCATTCTCTCCCTTTCTCTTGTTTCTCTTTTCAGTTTCTTTGTTCCTTGTATTTGTTTTTAGATTCTGCAGTCCATAAAAAGCACAACTTAGATCCATTTCCTTTTGTTTTTTTAAGGCTGTGTTTGGCTTGATAGAAAATGAGAGAACAGAAAGGGAAGTTCTTAACAAATATTTTGAAATTCCTAAAGACTTCCCTCAACTTTCTGTTTCTCTCTTATTTTCAATCAAATCAAACATAGCCTGCGTTTTAAACACTTTTTAAGTTATGTACAGCCTTTTGCCAGTTATATATAAGCAAATTGCTAAAACTAAACAAGGACCTTGTGGTCTATTTCTAACTTGATAAAGATGCTTTTGAACCCGTTATTTTTTCTTTTTATTTCATCTGTGCTTTTGCTCTTTTAGGTTGATTTGTTTACAACAATTTCAGCCCTAAAGATAATACCAAACCCACTAAACTGACCTTTGTTTTCCCTTAGATATTCATACAAGTCTCATCCTTGATTTAAGGGAAGATTTTCCAGAGTTTTTTTGTCTATTTATCCAGTATCAGAAACTTTTTGTAAATATGAACGTTCTTATTTTGGTTCAAGAAAATCAGAGAGAATATGAACATTCTTATTTTGTAAATATAAACTGACCTTTTTTTTTTGTAAATATGAACATTCTTATTTGTAAGTATGAACATATTCATACAAGGATCAAAGGTGAGGATGTTTTGAAAATCAGAGAGAATAACAGGGTGACTGTGTTGGTGTCAAAGGAGGTCTTAGTCTGGTTGAAAGGTTTCATAGATGGGGCTATCAACTCTGGTAAGGTGATTGGATGGACAAATTCTTTGGCTGTACCAGGTAAGAAATTTGTAACAGAATTGA